GAGAACCTTGCCTGGTACACTGAGCAGTGTGATGCCTCGGTGATTGCTGCAGTCCCAACGGTCCCCCTTCCCCTTCCAGAGAGGGATGACCACACCCCTCAACAGGTCAGGAGGAACGGAACCGGACTGCCAGATGGCAGCCAGGACAGCATGTAACCCCCGTGCCATAGGTTCACCACCAGCCTTTAACAGTTCAGCTGGTATGCCGCAGATACCAGCTGCTTTACCACTCTTCAGCTTGGAAATCGCCCCCTAACTTCAGTTAGGGAGGGAGGGTCCTCACTGATAGGTGGATCGGCAGCGGGATCTCGACACTACCCGCATCCAAGTTAACTGTTGGTGGGTCAACCTGGTACAGCTGCTCAAAATACTCAGCCCAACGTCCCCGCACCGCAACAGGATCTGAAACGATCTGACCACTTACTGAGCGAACTGCTGTCACCTGTGAAGAGGGCTTGGAGTTCAGCTTTCTCAGGGCTTGGTATGCAGGACGAAGGTCATTTACTAAGAAATGGCCTTCTACCTCCTCTGCAAGACTCCTAATAAACTGTTCCTTGTCCCTTCTTAACAGGGACCGAGTTCTGCGCACATGAGAACGGTGCAATTCCCGATCCCCTGTCAGACGAGCCGCACGACATGCATCTGTGGCTTCCAGTGTCTCCCGCGAGATGGAATTCTGTACTGCTCTCGGGCGTACACCAATCGTATCTTGAGCTGCATCAAGCGTTTCACGCTTAAAGGTATCCCACAGAAGAACAGGGTCTGTCAGACTGCCAAGCACTGCGAAACGATCAGAGATTGCCTCAGCAAACCCGCGGGCACACTCCCCCTCCCTCAGCCTGTCCAAATGAAACACCCTAGGGTGATCATTTGACCGCTGGGGGGTTTTGAAGTGGACCCGGAGGGTAGCCACAACCAATCTATGGTCAGTACCACAGAACTCAGCACTCCTGTACACCCTGCAATTCTGAAGGATCCTCCAACGAGTGCTAACAAGTATGTGGTCGATCTCCTTGGCTGCGTTACCCGCATCACTGTACCATGTCCAGCGATGTGGGTCTGGGCGCTGGTACCAGGAGCCAGAAATCCTCAATTTCAAGGGCAGCCCCTTAAAAATATATTGATCATGGCAAGGCTAGGAACATAGAGGTAGCAGCAGGCTTCAGAGTGACAGTGCTTAGCAGGTGTCTGACATTGACAAGGGAGGTCAGTATGTCAGACAGGTAGGATTCTCACCAACATAGACTTCATTGGGGTGGTCATGTCTAGAAAAGGTAATTTTGGCAATATTGGTGTAGGACTTTTGCAGCCGCTGGGGAGAATAATGTAGCACTGCATCTTAGTAAAGGAGGCAGGCAAGTAAGTTGTTGCCTTGTCGTAGACAGGGCAATCAACTGTGGAGATGGAAACGGTTCCAGTACAAGTATTAAGGGAGGTATGAGGTTGGGCAGGAACAAGCTTACTAGTGAGGTCAACCATAGTAGATAGTGCATGGGCTTGGGACTCAGATGTAAGAATGACGAGGATAGGACAATTAGAATGGCTATGGAGAACTTTACCAACTTGTTTTTGGAGACATTGTTAGAATAGGCGGGTATCGTCAAAGGAAGAGCTGTAGGGGGGTATGAAGAGAGGGAGAGGAGAATGTTGAGTGAGGAAGGAATGTTTTCTGAGGATTGGTAAATGACCTGGGCAAGTGCTTTGGAATGGACTGAGCTGAGAGCAGGTTTCAAGGAAAGGGAAGTAGTAGCAGTGTTCACAGTCATGATCAAAGGAGAGTCAGCATTGGGGAGCTGGAAAAGTTTAGGATGTCGCAACCCCATGCGCTGTCACCGCTTCTCCAAACCCACTCCAAGGGGCATGGTGAAGGACACACGAGGACCTAGTATGAAAGTCAATGGGGCTAGATGATAAAGGGACAAACCCCAATGCCCCCAATGAAGGTACAAAATCATTATTGGCCTTGGTAAGCCTGGAGTATGTACCCCTAATGGGATCCTGAGGGATCCCCATTAGGGTAAGGCCTAGATAATGGAAATATAGAGCCCCTGGCACCCTGAGGACATTCAGGACTGACCCAAAACCACCCTTTTATCTTTTCAACATGGCTCTCACATCTTAGGAAATAAACAGAAGAGACTGGAGAAGAGAAGGAAAAGAGAAAGGGGAGAGGAAAAGATCATGCAAAATTGGTTGAGGCAAAGGGTAAGGCCCAAGGTAGGGGTGGTCCCCAACATTATTAATTACTTTTTGAGCATTTTCTGCTGCATCAGCATCTAGGGTCATTTGCAGCACATTCAAAATATAGCAATATGGAGGCTTGGGGCAAAAGCCCCAGGTAAATAAAGGGAATACAGCACTAAGACACATTACTGTGTCAAAACTGGGTAAAAAGGAATTAATGACTAGGACAAAATATGTTAATGTCAAAAATTGTAGTGCTGTAAGTTAGTATAGTAGTGAAAAAGAAAAAGAGGGAAGAGTAAATGAAGTACAAAAGATGTTCAGACTGACACAAAGCCAGCCTTTCATCCTTTCAGCACGGCTCTCACAGTTTAGAATGTGGACTGAAGAGGATGAAGAAAAAGAAAACGAAGGGTGAGAAGAAAGAGCATACAGAATTAGCTGAGGTGAGGATGTGATCTAGGGAGGGGTGATCCCCTACACTGAGTGTCAGTCTCTGTCTCCTCAGACCCCCTACAACAATGGACATAGGATTGGGGGGGGGGGGGTATTATTATAAATGTGATTAGTGAAGAGATGAAGAGGTCAGCCACAATGGTGTGTGGCATTTCCCAGTGACTATGTGTTTTGTGACATGATATGAGATAGGATGGAGAGAAAAGGGAAAGCAAGGCCCAAGGTAGTAGTTAGTAGGAATAAAAAGACCCTCTAAAGTTTAACATAGAAATAAGCTAAATAGGAAGTAAGTGTACATTTGAATAGTGGATCTCTAGCATCCTTAACACTTTATCTAGTGGAGACTGACAAGCAAAATTGAAGAAATAGGCCTAGTGCACTTTACAATAAGGAAACTAACTATAAAGTCCGAGGAAATGTTTCCATAAAGTAGTCAGGAAGAATAAGAGGGATAATTCAACTATAGAGAAATGTCAAAGAACAAAGGTTATGCTAGATGGATGTTTAATATAAGAAGGGAAGAGACATTTGTAGAAAAGGGGTCATCGATGTGGATGGGAGATTGCTTCATGCAAGCCAATAATACAGCCTGGCCCATGCAACTGTTTTTACTTGTATATATAGCTCTCTTCTTTTTTTATCACAACCATTGTATGCCCAAGTTTAATTGAAGGAATTTCAATGTCTTAACCCACCCGTGCCGGTACATTTTGTAGCCAAAATTAAAAAAATCCGGGCAGCTACAAAATCGGCGGCGGAGCTTCCCCGGAGTCCGTCCGCCCGCCCGGCCGCGCGCGCTTCTGCCGGAGCGCGGCTCCGAGACAGCATCGCACTGGCGGCAGCCCGACACTGTTTATTTTTCCATGTGTCTCATATATGTGACACCGGGCGAATGGGTTAAAAAAATAAATAAAATAAAAATAAATAAATAAATAAAAAATAATAATAAAAATTTTAAAAAGGCAGCACCAAAATCTGGTCACTACTATATGGATAATAATCTTTATACAACTACTGTCATTTCAGGTAGGTAGATTACAATCCACTTAGTAAGTTCTGACATTTTAAAAAGTTCTGCTGCCGTTGGTATAGTTTTTACCCAAGGACAGTGTCTTTACTGCAATTACAAAAACTTTTTCCTTGAGAAAATGTGGGAAGCAAAATTAACCCCTTTGATCCAGGTGACGTGACCATCTGTCATGGAAAAATTTGGGTCAAGGGCCGGGTGATGTGAACATGCTGTCATGGAACTAAATAGCCGTGGATGTGTGACACGAACTTGCCATCATATGCAAAGCCAGAGCGATGGAAAAGACTTGCCACAAAGTGCACAAACCTTTTGGTGTCATTAGACTCATTCGCATTTAAAAGGGGGCTTTGCATTATTCCCATCAATAAACAAGTATGGAATGTAACGTGTGTAAGCAGTGACAGAAGAGAGCGGCTCCAGGGAGGACACAACTTTCATGTTACACTCCTGGCCACCATGACCAGCGGAACAGGTTGTATTACAGAATACTGAAATTACAAAAAAAGTAAAATAATGACACAGATAACAAAATTTTACTTTTTTTTTTTTTCTAATTGCAATGAGTTCTTTACTACATGAAGAGATTAAGTGGAGTCTGTGCAAGGAAATAATATATTACCATCTGGATAAAGCAATTGAAAAGACAAATATGGACATTGGAAAATGACAAAAAAAATTAAAAAGTTAATGCAATGTTAATGTTTGAAAGTAAATGTGTTAACATCAAAGGTAATATAACACTACGGTGAAGTATGGTTTGGAAAGGGCAAAGGAGAGTTAAAGATTACCATAAAAGGTTTGAGAGTGTTATGGATAGTATGGTAGTTAAAAGGCAAGCAGTGGAGCAAGTGAACTAGAGAAGAAATTAGTAGAAAGGGAGAGTTAAGGAGGTAGGGTGATTGAGTGAATTATAGTGTATTTGTCCCTGGGAAGGAATAGGAAAAATGTTTAAGGAAGAAAAGAGCTGTTGAAAAACTAGAATAATCCGAGTGCAAGAAGTGCTAGATGTCAAAGATTAGAGGGAGTTATAGAAAAGTGTGGTAACAAAAAGGGAAAGTAGGGAAGTAGATGAAGTAGAGCAGTGATTAGTGAAATGGGAAAGGTTAAGGAGGTAGAGCAATCAAGTGAATTGTATTGTATCTGTGACTGGGGAGGAATAATCCAGCGGTTACATGAAAAACTTTTTTTTAAAAAGCAATGCAGCAAGTTTTATTAAAAAAGTAAAAAAGTTATAAAACTAACTTAACTGAAACATTTTCTTAAGAAAAAAAACAGCATAGTCTTACATCCTAGTATGTACAACTTAATAAAAACCTTTTTGAAAACACTGTAAATACATTGGGACTGGACAGAAATTCAGATTCATAAGGAAATTCCTTGTACCATCTTTTCCTGCAAAGTACTGGGAAAAATTCTAAGCAACAACTGATTTTGCAAAATCCACTATTAATTGCATAATTCTAAAGATCTGGAATACTGTATAATAAATGACTATATATTTAAAACATTCGCAAACACCAATTCTGCTAAGGATCAAATGCAGTTAAAGTAAATATAAAATGCTGTCACTTTCCTGCACTGACTTTATATAATTATTTACTAGTAGTAAATAATGACATTACTCAAAAAATAAAACAATTCATCAACTCTTCAGAATGTTTGACGCGAGTAAACTTAGTCACCCAGACAATTATTTGTGTCATATACACAAATACTATTATTCACATAGTCTGAAGGCAAAACTCAACTAAAATCTTAAACCTGTGAAAAAAAAAAAAAAAAAGACAAAATTTACATTTCTAGAGGCAAGTAATTCCAGTCAATGGGCTTCTTGCCTTGTTTTTTTAGAATTTCATTACACTTCGAGAAGTGCTTGCATCCCAAGAAACCTCTATGAGCTGACAGTGGCGACGGTGAGTTGTGTTCAAGAGGTGGTGTTTTTTCTGTACAAAATGAAGAGAAAAATAAAGTGGGTTAATTTTCATGAGAAAACAGTCATAAATATACAAATAAACATGTGAGATGGCTTATCTTTAAGCTTTCTTTTTCTTACTTTCTCCTTCCCCCTCAATTTATTTTTCCTCTCATCTCCTTTTTTTTTTTTTTTCTTTTCTCTCCCCTCTCCCTACTCTCCTGCCCTCCTTTTCTTTCTCCTTCTTAATCCCCCTCCCTTTCCCTCCCACCCTTTCCAATACATAAACTAAAAAAAATCCATCAATGCATCCTCTGGTCTCACCTTATCTACAACAGCAGCTTTTTTTGTGCATAAGAACCCCACAGGAGAAACACGACGCCCTTGTTGCGATCCGACACTGCCTTGATAACCGAGTCTGTGAACTTCTCCCAGCCTTGGTCTTTGTGTGAATTGGCATTGTGGGCACGGACTGACAGCAAGCGTTGAGGAGCAGAACGCCTGAAGATTGGGAGCATATTTGTAATTGAAATTTTGATGCACACTGAATAACATGTTTTCTGATTCTGCTGCTTTGCTTTCATTCTGGAAAATTGTGCAAGCAAATGTAAGAAGCAAACATATTAGTTATGCAATAAGATAATGTTAATAATTGTTGATGATGATTGATGACGATGACATTGAGGACTGGTGTTGATGAGTGATAACAATGATAATCAATTTCATTGTCATCATCACAATAATAACAACAACAATAATAATAATAATAATAATAATAATAATAATAGTAATAATAACTATAATGACAATGATGATGATAAACCAGTAATAACAATAAAACTTATAAAGCAACAATAATGATGATAATGACTGATGATGATGATGATGATAATAATGATGATGATGAAGACAATAAAGATGTTGACAATAACAATAACAATTATAATAACAATAACAATAATCATTACAATAATAATTATAACAAACAATAATAATATCAACCTATGAAACTAATGACAATGAAAATGATGATGATAATGATATTACTACAAATAATAACACCCTTTTCTTCATTTACCTTGTTTTGCCCAGCCAATTAGATGCCCATGAGAAGGCCGTCAAAGCCTTCAATATCTGATTCAAGCTCTTTGTACATGTTCAACAAACTGAAAGTAGGGGAAAAATATTCAATGAAAATAACATGCATATCATGAATGTTAAATGTTTTGAAACAAATAAATGTGTTAAGACATATGAGGTCATGTAGCACTATGGTAACTTATTTTGTCGGAGAGGGTAAAGAGTTAAAGATTACGATAAAATGTGTTAGATGTCAAAGATTAGAGTGTGTTATAGGATAGTATAGTGCTGAAATGGGAAAAAGGGGTAAGTGAACTAGAGCAGAGATTACAAAGGGAGAGTTAAGGAGGTAGGGGGACTGAGTGAATTATAGTGTATCTATCACTGGGAAGGTAGAGGAAAAATGTTCAAGGAAAAATAGAGATGGCTGTTGGAAAAGTAGAAAGAATCCAAAAGTGTTACATGTCAAAGATTAGATTAGGTGTTATAGGAAAGTACTGTAACAAAAAGGGGAAAGAGGGAAGTAAATGACGTAGTGCAGGGATTCGTAAAATTGCAAAGCTTAAGGGCGTAGAGTGATAGGGGATGGAACAGGGACATTGTTCAAGGAAATCAGAGGCGGTTTTGGAGAAGTAATAGGAGAATAATTTGGAGCATGAGAAAGGTGGAATGAGAATAATTTGGAGGATGAGACTGGTGAAGGTGGTGAAATATCAGGAAGAATGTCTGGAGGAGAGTGGTATGGAGAAAGACGCTGTTGTGATAGAGGGCGAGTATTCAAGTGGGAGCAGTAGAGAAGGTGGGGTATGTTGGAGGGTGTAGGAGGAAGGGGGGATGATGGAACTTGAGGAGGAGGAGGAGGATGCATATCTGTAATACTTTAAATGTAGAAGGAGTAGGAACAGAGGGAGTAGATGGCTTTAAGGATTTCTGGAGGGGAGTTGGGTGAAGAGGACTGAGAAACAATGGTTTTCTTATGAGGAGAAGAGGAGACAGATATCTAAGGAGAGAAGAAGAGGAAGATGAAGGAGGGTGGAGTGGAATGTTTAGGTTGCCTGGTAAGACAAATAATGAGAGGAGGAGGGGGGTAGGCATTGGAGAAGTGGTAGAGATTGGGGTATCTGGGTTTAGACTGGAAAATGAATTTGACTAGGGATCGGGTGAGTAAGCGTAAGATGGTTAGGTATGGGGAGATACTGAGGGAGATGCAGAAACATCTTGTAAAGATGGTGGGGGAGCAGAACAAAGGACTATTTTGAAATAATTTGAGAGAGGAAACCTTGTCGACGTGCTTCTTGTCTGGCATCACATAGTGAGACCCAGTTTAAATCTGAGGACTGCTACCTCACATTCGAGCTTATAGTCAGGGCAGTTCCTATAAAATACATTATGGGAGTCTCCAATATTGGTACATGTATGTAACTAAACAGGGTGATTTGAACGGTCATGACCAGGTTGGGTACATAGTGGGCAGTGGGTTGTGGACTGATAGTGTTTGGCTGGGTGGCCAAAATGCCCACATTTTGACATTAACGAGAAAGGGGTCGATATGGTCGGACATGTAGCACAATCCACCAATATAAAGCTCATGGGGAGGTCCTGTCTACGGAAGCTAATCTTGGCAATACTGTCATCGGACTTACACTGGTCTCTGTGAGGAATAGTGTAACACTGTACTGTCATTGCATCATATTCAGCAAGGCAGGTAATTAGGTTATTTTCCCAGTCTGACCATTCCTTGTTGCAGATGGGACAAGCATTTGGGGAAATAGAAAAGTTCCAGTACAAGTATTCAGAGAGAAGTAAGGTTCAGCAGGAATGGGTTTGCCAGCAAGGTCAGTTAGGGTAGATATTACACAAGCTTGGGATTCAGATATAACCGTAACGAGGAGTGAATGATCAGAGTGACTGCAAAAGGTAATTTGCCTAATTGTTTCTGAAGGCACTTGAAAGAGAAGGGTATTCTCAGAACAGGGGGCTGTAGGGGAATCACAAAGATTGATCCCACTTGGTGGGCCAAAAAGAGTACAGTAGGTTTGCAGAGGTAGAGGCAGTAGAAGGACAAGGGCGGAGAAGACGGGGTGGTGTGGAGTGGAAGTAGTTCTGTGGGGGGAGACAATAGGGATGAATAGTAGTAATAAGGAAAGGGGGTAGACACTGAAGAGACTGTGCAGTAGATAAAGAGGAGAATCTTGGGAGGGGATTAGGTACTTTCTGGAGGTTGTGTAATAACCTGGGTGGGTATTTTGGAATGGTTATAGTTGTCTGTAAGCATCAGAGAGGGAGTATTAGTATCAGTGGTCAGAGCCATAGTCAAAGGAGGGGAATGGGTCGAAAAACCATCAAAATCAAAATTAGATAGGCTAGTTGATGAAGGTGCATGACTGATATAAAACCTGCTTTCATCCTTTCAACATGGCTCTCACACCTTAGTAATGGATAGAAGGGAATGAAAAGATACGGAAGGGGAAAGGAG